TGATGTGGTCTAGTGTGGGAGACTGCAATCAGGGAAGAATTTCTGTACAAGCACGGCAGGTCACTAACCCAAAGGGAACTCCGGATGAAGGACCCAGATGTCCCAGACACCAGTAGTATGTTGTGCTTTCTCGTTCTGAACAAATACTCTCATTCTAAGTAAATATTCTCATTCTAAATCCATGTAATTTTTTGCTTGTAACTTTTCTTATAGAGGGTTCCCAAAAAAGGGCCAGGCCCCCTTTTCTAGAAGCTAGATCTACTTCAGGAGGAATTCTATAAAATTTTATTTTGTGAGTAAAAGAAAGAACGAATCATCCATCATCCCATCAACCAGTCAAAAGTAATCAGAACAAAATATTGGCCTAGGAAAAACTGTACATGTGTACACACACTGCCCTCCTAGCCCCAGGGCTGCCTGGACAGTCAGAATTGAGCTTGCTGAGTGAGCCCAGCTGCAGGGCCTGCCTACCCAGCTGCAGGGCCCGCCCACCCTGCTGGCCTTGGCAGGGCTCTTCCTGGCTCCCAGCGCGCCTCCGCTCCTCTCGCACTGCTAACCGCACAGGGTGGCTTGGAAGCGAGAGTCAGGAGAGTCGGAGTGGGCTGCTGCTTCAGATCCAATGAGAGGGACAGTAATTGGCAGAATCCTGGGCGAGTCTCAGTTTTCCTCTCTCTGAAATGGATCAGGGATCCTGCTTTTTACAGGGTTATTGTGAGGATTAGATTCTCTATCTGGCATCTCCTCAGGTTAGCACGTGGCAAGTACAAAGTGATGCTCGTTCCTCTTCCAGTTTTCTTTGGACCCTCTCAATTGCCACCTGATTGGACAGGAAGTTTGATCACGTGGAATAAAAGAATTGGCTCAATAAAAGAATTGAGGCGGTCAGTCCATCTACCTTCCGGTGTCCTGCTTCAGTCTACCTGATGGAAAGGATCCGTGCTCCCTCCCCAGGGACTCGTCACTCGGGAAGCCCTGGGTGCAGCTGCCACTGTTCTCCAGGTGCAAGTTTGCTCTGTGAGTCACAGCACAGAGGAACCTGCTGGTGTGTTTGGCAAGGTCTGGGCTTCTGTTTGAGTTCATGGTGCTGTTTCTGCCAGTGCAGAGACATTAGCCACCAGGGTCCCGAAGTGAGCAAGCAGAGAAGGCTACGGGTCCGAGAGTTACTGGGCAGCAGAAGAGACCAAGTGTGTTTATGATATTCCATGTTCATGATGGAATTCTACTCTTGCAAAAGCATTTCTCTGTTGCTGGACATTTACGCTGTTTCCAAATTTTCCTTTTTGTCAATACTGCCACTGATATTATTATATACAAATTTTGACTAAATCTATGACTATATATCATTGGACTGTATTTCAAGAAGTGTCTTTCTAATTTCAAAGGATACAGACATTTTGGTAAATGTTAAGTTTCTTTCCACATTTTGGAGGCCCATCATTGAGAGAATATCTATTACATGGCATGCCTGCCAACATTGTAAACCATTGTCTTTTGATCATGGGTCGTTTGGTGGGCCCCCAATTCTTTTTTTCCCCAGTGTCATTTTAGTGAAAGCTTTTAAAATCAGCGTGTACTTTTTTGTTTTGAAATTCCTAAAGACATGCTTTCAGAAGGTTCACTCCTTATTTTCCTAACACCCTTTTCATTTATCCTGGTGGTGGTCAGCCCCCTGGAAGCCTGTGCTCAGAGATCAGCCCAATATTTTCCCAGGGAGCTAGCTTTCCTGAGAACAGCAATTCTAACCAGCCAGCACTTCTTACATATCCGCAGCCTGAGCGAGGCACCATTATCTGGTGTTGAGTTGGGCCTCATCCAGAGGAGGTTAGGCATCCTGGGACCCACACCGGCTGGAGGCAGGTCGCTGCCCAGAATGGGGGCTGGGCAAGCCAAGATGAGTTGGATCGGGAGCTGGTCGAATAGACAGATGACAGAGACCACTAAAGAGAAGGTCAAAGGCAGGAATCCAGGCATGATTGAGGCAGGAAGCTACTTCTCATAAGAATTAGGTTGTGTTGCAGAGAATGATAATAATAATGCACAGCTATGATTTATTGGGTGTTTACTGTTTGCCAGGCATTTTTTTGAGTATTTGAGGTACATTGTTTTATTTCTCATGGCAATGACAAGGGATGTGTACTACTTATGTCCCCATTTTACATAAAATGAGGACCAGAAATAACTTTCCTAATGTCACCCAGTGAGTAAGGGTGGAGGTGGGGTTTGCTCTCTGCTATCAGAGCTTGTAGTGACGCTGTACCCCGTCTTGAGGTGGGAGCTGTCAGGTGGCTGAATGAAACTGTAGTTAGTGGCCAGCGCAGAGGCCACAATTAGTGTATAGAGCAGAGCCACTCCACAAAACTCTTCAGGGTGGACTCTTCAGAGTTGACAAGAATCAAGTCCTGCTCACTGATGTCTGCCGTGTCAAGATGGGTACCCTGTGTTGGGCTGGGTGAGAAACATGGGGCCCTGCACTCTGTGGAGTCTGCCATCACAGACACGTAGGGTTCAAGGCCCAGGTACCTAAGTGCTCTTAGAGATTTGCAAAGAAAGTGCCAAGAGGAGCTTCATAGGGGTCAAGGAGGTCCTGGAAGAAGGTGGCATTTGAAAAAGTGGAGGAGCGGGGGAGGTTTTCACAAGCAGAGGAGGTGGCAAGGACATGATTGTCACTTATCTGCGGCCTAGGAGAGTGTGAGGACAGCCAGCAGCTGCGAACTGCTCCAGTGCAAAGTGCTGAGGGGACCTTTTGACCACACTGACTTCCATCTGCAGCCTGGATCCCAGTGATCACACGTTGAGTATCCCATGGGAATGGAGCCTAGTTAAGCTATCAGTTACAAAGCTGCTGGCACACGGCTTGGACTGAAGAGATTCCCAGCGGAGCCCTTGTGAGCCCAGGGAGACAGGCTTTCCAATTTCTCTTCCACTTGCAGATCTCCAGGCTTGACTCTGCTCCCATGCAATTGGTATCTGGGAAAAATGGTTCTCGCCAGAGAGGCATCTGGCCCTTTTATCAGGACTAATAACTTCAGCTGGTAGGCTGTTTTTTTTTTTTTAAGGTTTATTTTTTATTAAAAGCTAGGTGAATTAGTCTGGGGCAGCAGTAGTCCAATAGCACTTTCTGTGATGATAGAAACATTCTATAATCTGGTCTGTTCAGTATGACCGCTGCTAGTCAAATGTCACTATTAAGCATCTGAAATGTAGCCAGTATGACTGGAGAAACGGAATTTTTCATTTTATTTCAATTCTTTTAAATATCAGTGGCCATGAAGTGCCTAGTAGCTACCCTATTGGATAGTAGGAGGCTGGGGGATCTTAGATCAGAAGGAAGAATCACACAAATTTGGGAACACAAACAGTTCCTCAAGTCTTGTGTGACATTTACAGGACCCTGGTCATATAGAATGCAAAAATCTTTTGCAGTGTTTGGAAACAGGGCAAGCACACAAGTACTCCCCTCTCTAACTAACAGGTGTGCTACTTGGTTATCAGATGCAGGGATGACCAGTTGGCTTAAATGTGAAAAGGATAAAACAGAAATAAGTTGAATAATCCTGAGACTAGGAACTAAAAATTTCAAGATGGGTGTTTAATTGTCATTGTCCAAAGACTAGTTTTTGCTTTTGATCACAGAAAGTTACTTCATCTTTTATTCCTTTTTAGTAGGAGTAAAAATTCCTTGAGTTCCTACTATATGTGGCCTACACCTTATGTATGTTATTGTCCATCTTCACATCAGCATCCCAAGTTGAATATTACATTTGCATTTGAGGAAACTGAAGCTAAGAGAAGTTAAATGATCTTAGCAGTGGTAGAGTTCCAAGTGTTCTTTGTGTCTGAGTCCATCATTTAGAACACAAGAAAGTGTCACCCCAGGCTGAGGGCATAGATAGGAGCTTGCCCTGGATCGCAGAGTGATCACAGGATCATCAGTCAGTGATCAGTGTTGGAAGGGGGCTCTAAGATCCTCCTGCCCAAACACCTATTTTACAGATGAGTCTCTGAATCCAATGTTAACTATTTGCCAGCTACTGATGAGCACTACTGACTAGCAAATTAGAACAAGGGGAAGGAACTGGGGTGGGCAGTGACTTCTCATAACTTATGTTGAGTCTACTATTTAGTTGAGTTCCAGAGTAGAATTCCAAAATACTCATGATCTTTACTTGTATTTTTCTAACCTAATGAAGATGACTGTAGAACTCCTAGGTTCTCTTCAAAACCCTCAGGAAAACTTCCTGGCTACCTCCAGACCTTTGTAATTCCCTTCCTGTTCTCTCCCAACCTCATTATGATGTACATTGACATGACATGCTTTCTCAAATTCTTCCCTGCCTCTCTCATCTCTAGAACTCACTCCTCTTGGCCCACTACCAGGTAGCTTTCTTTGCCCAAGAAAACCACTTTGGTCAGGTTCTTCTTTGGATGGCTAGCGGGCAGGAGAAGGGCAGGGAATGACAGCTTGGGTGGCCATACTGGAGTCCTCCAAATTCACAGGGTTTGGGCACAGCTTGGCAAATTCACATTATTGATTCCATCCCGTCCCGTTACGAAATGCAAACTGAACATATGACTGGGAACATCGTCCCAAAGCCAGCTGTACCTGTGGCGGCAGACCGTGAGAGGCCAAGCCAATATCCATTCCTTCACCCCCTTTCCCCGCTCATTCAACCCTGATTTGATTTGAGGTCGCAGACCAACCAGATTCAGATGATGCAACATGATTCGTCTAAGCCACTCATGGCTCTCCTCCCTCTCACAAGCTAATCGATCTGCCCATCTCCCTTGCTCCTGGTGGTGGCCTTGAGATCTGGTTTGGCCAAAAGATGCTGTTGCAGGCAGAATAACAACCCCCAAAGATGTCCACATCCTAATCCTTAGAAACTGACGTGTTTTGTGTTACATGGCAAAGGGGAATTAAGATATAATTAAGTTTGCAAATGAGCTAACCTTTACATAGAGACGCCTGGCTTATCACCTGCAGGTGAGCACAGTGAAATCAGCGATCTGTGACTGCAAGAGGAAGGCAGGAGAGTCCGTGTCAGTGAGATGCAGCGTGAGAAAGGCTTGGCCGGGCATCGCTGGACCTGGAGATGGTAGGTGGCCTCTAGAGGCTGGAGAGGGCAAGGAAATGGGCTCTCCATTAAAGCCTCCAGGAGGAATGTAGTCCTACTGATACCTTGATTTTAGGCCAGTGAAATCCATTTCAGACTTATGAACTCCAGAACTAGAACATAGTAAATGTGTTGTTTTAAGCCACCAAATGTTAGCGTCCAGGAACTCAGGGTTTTCCGGAGAGAAAAAAGCACACAGGCATGGAGATGTAAGTACAGGCCAAGTCTTTATTCAGCCAGCAAGCTGGGGTCGACAGCACCTCCCCTGACACGCAGGCCGAGTCCGAGCTGCCGACCCCCAGGCAACTTTCGGTATTGCTTATATAGGATTTTCACAGCCGTTACACCGAAGCCCGAGCATTTCTACAACCAATAATTTTAAAACACATTCTATATTGTAACCTTTTACGGAACACTCCAGTTGCCTGACCGCTTCAATTGTTATCTCTTGCTTACCCAAGCATGTCTATGTGACCTATCACGGATCACGCCCCCAGGCTGTTGCCCACTTCTAGTTATCTAACTTAAAGCAGGCGCATTTCTAAGCTTAGCCTCGGGTTGTTTATTCAAAACTGGGTGGCCCATGCTTTAGGCAGTTAGGTTAAATGTTATTAGTCCTTTTTCCTGACTCTTGATGCCCTCTGCCCTCCTTTACACAAGTTTGCAGAAATTTTTACATCAGTGACAGTAAACTATACAAACATATGGGACAATCTGCTGGGGCTTCTGTGAAAGCTTTTGCTTTTCTTATAAAAGGGAAAACATGGTTGGTCCCACCCTTTCTTCCACTCTTGCTGCCTTGAAAACAGACATGATAGTAGGGGCTCTGGCAGCCCTCTTGTGACTATTAAGGTCATAGCAGGTGGATGAAAAGCCACATGTCAAGAATTGCTGAGAGGAGAGAAAGAATGAAACCGAGAACTTCATTGTTTTATTCAATTACTAAAGTAATTTCAGAAGTATAAACTTCCAGATCCCTTATGTGAGAACAATAAGCCCTGTGTGTTGAGTCTTCCATTACTTGCACAGACCATCAGAGTTCTTATTGCACAAAAAATAGGCATGAACCAAAAGGAATGAAACTACCATTTCCCCAAGCACCTACTCTATGTTAAGAATGATGGAAAGTACTTTACTTACTTTATCTCACTTATATTTCTTAAGGAGATCATGTGACTTTAACTGGGCAGGGAAACAAGGGGGTGGGGCATATGGACCATAAAGAGCCCATTGGTAGCCAGATATAGTTAAAGCTAATCTTGCTCTAGCAATTGGTCTCCCCCACCCCCTTGAAAGCCTACTCCCTACATTTGGAGTCTGAAGAAGAAGTGGGGCTTCCAGCAACTTTCATACCTGATGAAGCAGCTAGACTTCCCCAGGCAGGTGCTGAAATGTGGACTCTTTCCACCTGTCAAGAATAGCTTTGTCAAAAATTCCTGACTAACCACATTTCTGGGGGAGGTTGAAACTGCAGTTGGGTTAGGTATTAAGCCCTTGTTTGGTGGCTTGGCCTGGCAGAGGTGACCCCATGTTGGGCCTGTGTTTTTCTTTTTAACAGTAATAAACTGACAGTATGTTGTTGGGAGAGGTTGGTTTGGCTTAAAGCTGTAGAATGAGTTGTGAGGGACCTCTTGATCTCCCCTACTTCCCCCAAAATTAGGGAAATAGGACTAGCACATCCCAGATTCAGCTGACTGTAGGGCAGGGTCTGGTTCCCTCCAGGCTGGGAGGGAGCTGGGGGTCAGGACAGTGTGGGGCTGACTTGGGGCTGCAGCTCTCCAGGCTGGCTCTGCACCCACTACCCTGTCACTCCGGGTGGTGCCGGGGGAGCCCATTCACACCTGTCTCCCTGGAGGTGGCAGGCAGCTGCATACAGTGAGATTGCCCTAGCCTTCATGCTGGCCAGCAGCACCCTCGGTAATATTGAGGCATTCTCCCTTGAGCCACTGGCAGCTGTGGGTCACAGCTAACTGCAAAGAAAGTAAATAGATCCCCACTCACTTCCTGCAAGGTGGGGTGAGAGCAGGAGAGGGGACAACAAACTGAACATCCATTTATTTAATACTGTGATATGGTGATTTATAGTTAAAAATACATTTGGTCTCAGTCTCCATTTCTGGCACAGGGCTCCTAAAACCCTTGGAATTTCCTGTAGTGAGAGTGTAAAAGATGTCTGTTGTGTTAATGACGGCTGGTTGCCAGGAGAACTAACCATGTGATTGGAGGCTTGGAACTTTCTGTCCCACCCCAGCCTCTGGGGAAGGGAGAGGGCCTGAGGGTTAGTATCAGTTGCCAATGGCCAATGGTTTAATCAGTCATGCCTACGTGATGATGCCTCCATGAGAACGCAACAAAGAGGGTTTGAGGAGCTTCTGAGCTGGTGAACACATGGAAGTCTGGGGCGTGGTGCAACCGGAGAGAGCGTGGAAGGCCATGGCTCTTCCCACATACCTTGCCATATGCACCTATTCCATCTGGCTGTTCCTGAGTTGCATCCTTCATAATAATAAAAAAACTCAAGCAAGCAAATGTGAAGATCTAATTGGCTTTGTTAAGTGGTTCATGGAATTGGGCAGCATCCCATCTAGCAAATATAGAGATACTTGTTAAGGGCTACAGGAAGGGAGAGGCTTTTGACGTCAGGACAAGCAAGTCACAAATTGGAGAAAAAAAGGATAATTTTGGGTGAGGTCACCTTCATTGTGGGCATATGGGTCTTATTAGATGGGTTCCTCTGAGGGATGGAGAGGATATGTGACAGATTATCTTATTGTTGACCATAAAACTCCTGACTGACCACATTTCTGAGGGAAGTTGAAACTGCAGTTGGGTTAGGTATTAAGCCCTGGTTTGGTGGCTTGGCCTGGCAGAGGTGACCCCATGTTGGGCCTGTGTTTTTCTTTTTAACAGTAAGAAAATGACAATATGTTGGTGGGAAAGGTCAGTTTGGCTTACCGGGGATGGAAATCCATCCAAGGCATGTCACCGGATATGTTGGGGGAGCGCTGTGTATTTTCCTCGGTCCTTGTCCCTGCTGAAACAAAGAATTGAAGGGAAGAGACCCAGTTGTGAAGCAGAGTAAAAGTTTTATTTAAAGTTAATTAGAAAAAAAATGCAGGTGACCTGAGAGAGAGAGGAGCACCCTGAAAGGTTGAAAAGAGAGAGTTTAAAGTTAAAAGTTTATGCACTTAGAAAGTGCAGGTGACCTCAGAGAGAGGAGCACCCCCAAAAGGTTGGGGGTTCCCCCTTTTAAGGATTCTTCAGGAATGTGACCAAGGGCTGGGGGTACAGACTTGTTAAATGGTCTCTGAATATTTAGAATTAACTTAACACAAGGAACTTCCTGCTCTTATTTCTCCCTGGGATACCGGCTTCTTGGTCTGGGAGCATATCAAACAAGATTGCCTGCCCAGCCCCCAAGGTGGGCTGAGTTATTGACTGTTTGCTAAAGAGTAAGTTAAGAATCTTACTTCTTAACTTCCTGGGTATTAAAATGCAACCTTATTTTCAAGGTGGAATCCTTCCTGCCTTTTACTATGTTGTTTATGGCTGGGTCTACATGCTAATTTAGCAGCCTAGGTTGCAAACTACTTGATTAGGGTGAAGGAGAAAAATAACAACATATAGGTAAAATTAAAAAATAAGCTGGGCCTGCATGATTAACACAATAAAGACATGGGCTATGCTGAGGTACCCTCCTTTATCTGGGGAATACTCAAGCATTCCAGGCCAAGTTGCTTCTGGCTTTTTGAGCTTTAACTGATTAACTCTGGGTCTTTTTAGTTGGCTTTCCTGGCCTTACTCTCTTTCCACCCTGCTCATATCTATTTTCCTGCCTAACATATCTAGTAAAGGTAAAATGATTCTGAGCTCTCTGAGCTGCTCTAGCAAATTAATCAAACCCAAGGAGGGGCTGGTGGGAACCTTCAGTCTATAGCTGGTTGATCAGAAGCACACATGACAACCTGAACTTGTGACAAAGGATTTCTGCCTCCCACCCCACCTCCTCCCTGCCCAAGGGGAAGTCTTGGGGCACTGAGCCCTTAACCTGTGGGATCTGACACTGTCCTGGGTAGAGAGCATCAGAACTGGGCTGAAGTGTAGGTCACCTAGCTAGTGTCAGAGACTTGCTTGAATGTGTGGGAAGACCCTGCACACACACACTCTGGGACTTGGTGGCCAGAACTGTTAGCTGGTGATCAGAGTGAGAATGCTTCAAATACTCTGTGGAGTGCCCTACTGTGTGCCAAGCATTAGATTACAAAGATGAATGAAAAAGGTCTTGCCCTTGAGGAACACACAGTCTTATGAGAAACCATGGATGAGAATGGCTCCAGCCAAGCAGAAGGTGCAAAGGGCCAGAAGGGAGACACCAGGGAATTCCTGAGGGCACAGAAAGGATCACTAAGTCATTTCAACTGAGGGAGCCTGGAGGGCTTCCTGGAGGAGGTACTATGAGGAGGAGGCCACAAGGAAGCCCTTCCAGGTGGAAGGGTGTGGCATAAGGAGAGGATACATGAGAAATAAGGGAACAGAAGTGCAGATTGACTGAGGCATGAGGCCTACACAGAGTGGTAGCTGGCTGTTAGGCTGAGAAGAAAAAGTGGTGCTGGATGACAGTCTAGAACACCATGTGACAAGCAATGGAGAGCCATTAATAGGAGAACAACCTGAATTTTACATATTTAGGTGCTCCTATGTTGGGTGGATAGATATTTTATAATGGTTATAGCCTCTTGTTGGACTGACCCCTTTCATTATATACTGTCCTACTTTGTCTCTTGTTACTTTCTTTGTTTTTGTAATCAGTTCTAAGTTTGGGGGAATTTAATATGACTGTTGCAGTTGAAGAGGGAAGAGACTTCAGATCCAGTCTGTGAGACAGGAACCTCTTGCACTATTCCAGGGAGGTAAGGTGCGTGCAAACAGAAGTCAGGGCGAGGAGGCAGAGGTGGAGCATAAGATGTGTTCCGTGCCAACCC